TTCAGCAACTTCAGTGCAGTATTTTATATTCAAATTATATTCAAAGCACCAAAGTACTGCTTTCTGGCCGTGTAATATTAACAATTCCTCTTGCCGCAGTAATTAATATTTCTGTCCACCACTGACATGATTGATATACTGTAGGGAGTCTCGACTCATATCAGACCGTCATTCTAAAATAAACCTCTGAACGTAGAATTTGATTTTCCAACCATTATGCTGAATGTTATTTATAGAACATTTTCGTAGCGTATAATGATGTGTTACCTCAGAACATGCCTCATTGTTTTTGTCGGGAGGAAATAATCTCATGCTAATTTAATGACATTGTTCCAGAATAATAGATGCAAGCGATATGGGACAACCTGTGGGTGCTGTTAAATTTGTGTTGGCCATTGTGTGGACGTACTCAGTGAGGCGTTTGTGTCTTATCAGAGTCTTTGGAAAGGTTAGGTTTCAGAATAATTATGAGTGAAATCCGGACGCCGTAGGTAACTCAGTCACTTGTTACGTTAACATTATTTAAAATGTTGGATTTGAGGCTTTAAAGGCGGTGAGTCTGAAGGTGGCTGTCTGCTGGGTTGTTGCGATGCCCTGATGATGGAGGCAGCAAGGACCTCTGAAACGACGGCGAACTTATACCAGACTACATGGCGTAACAACGCAGAATAAAGCCATCTTTATTCTTTCAAATGTGCCTCTTTGATATGAACTCCTCTTATACCCAACTTGCGGATTGTAGTAGGCTACTGCTTTTTATAAATTTGTCATTTTATTTATGGAAATATAATGCCCACTTTTTCCTTCCGAATGTCCCCCGAAAAAAGAAATGAATTAAATTGTTTGTTCGTGCATGTACAGATCAATACTTGAAAACTAAGTATCAAATTTACAGTTTTGTCTAATACGTTCATAGTTGAAATAAATTGTTTTCTGGATATTATCCATCGTCCAAGGCTAAATAACATAAAAAAACCAAAACGTTTCGGAGTTAGGGATTATCTTTTTATATTGGAACCAACAGAATAGGTTTTACCTGAAGACGGAGATAAACTCCCATCTCCGAAACGTCGTAGTTTTTTTTATTGATTTTATTTAGTCTCTGACGATGGATAATATCCAGAAAACAGTTTACTTCAACAACGCACCATCGTCACAAACTTTCAGAATTGAACTACGTTCATAGTTGTTTCTCACTTATAGAAACTATTCAGTGATTTTATATTACTGATGTGTGAACTTACGAGTACTACTCAATTTTGCGATTCGAAATTTGGATGTGCATTTTATTTTAGCATATATGGCACCTACTCGTTTTCGTATGTAGTTGGCAAGATCAGAGTGTCACTAGTGAATACGGTAATACATATTCGAGTTCTTTTAACTAACTAGGCGACTACTAGCTTTTCAAGAAGGAATATACTTGATGGAGTAGAAATATGGGTCTGTGTTTTGATGCACAAAATTCTTAGTGTTTTCTTCAAAACAAATAAGTGTCTATTAAGTCATTATCATCGTCTATTCTTCGCTTTGATGAAGATTGGTTATTAAAATCCCTACTCAACTTATTGAATTTTTGTGCAGTTTGGCTGAATGGACTCAGAAATTGAACTTTTTTATGTTTACTTCTGCAAGTATTAATATTATTTGGAGCTAATTTTATGTAGTATAGCCAAATTTAGGTCCATGTTTTTGTATGTCCTTCGTAAGCCTTGTTGATTTTTTGATGGTGACAGTCAAATACTAATGCACATTAATGGTGATGTGTATAGAACTTGCGAATATTTGTGATTATCTGTGTGGTTTATAGATGGAAATTCAACATGTATTGATTGAATGAATTTGTTAATTTAACTCTGAAAATAAATAATATTATATAGAGACTGACTACTGACTGTGTGATTGGGATTCGACCCCCGACAGGGGTAGAGGCATAGAATGTTCTTTAATCCTCTACACCCCGACCAGCCCTGGGGCGAACTCAGACAGGAGGATAGGTACCGGGGTCTTTTCCCGGGGGGTGCTGTTGGCCACTCAGCCGCTTTTAGTGCCGGGGTTGAGAAGGAATATGAGCTATACTTCTCCCTCCCAAATGCCAACATTGGCATGTAACGGGATGACTTTTAATGAATAGCATTAATTGTCTTAGATAAGTAACAGTCTGTATTCTATAAAAATGTTACACCGTGCGCTAATTTGTAATTTGTTATAATGTTAATGTGAATATAAAATAATAATAATATAAAAGGTAAAAACGGTTTATATAATCGAAAATATTTAATTGTTCACACCTGTAACAAAATACTACTGTACATTTTTCAAATATATAAATTAAGTATCACATTTATATCGTTATTAACTATTTACAAAATTCAAAAATTACTTCAGAAAAATATATAAAAAGCATATGCTTATAGAGCGTTTTAGTTCCACTATTTTCAATAGAACACGTTACATTTTTGGAGTTCTAGATTTAAAATTATTATTTAGAAGTTAGCAATCATTGAATATAAGATCAAATACACATCGCGTATAGCTTAATTTATGTGTTCCTTAAACACAAATTTAGTGCACCAGTACCCATTTTACTTCTGCATAGCTTCCTTACAGCCTGAACACTTGACAGTGTCAAATACACAAACCCGTCCCTTATTCGTCCTTTTGCCCTTTTTAACTTCATTTTATTTCTTGTTTCCTTTCTTCTTTATCACTGTCTGATGTCAAGTCAATAGTTGAGAGAGTCCATGGCTGTTGATTTTACAAAACCTCGAAAGATAAACTTGCTCTTTCCCCAGCGCCGTTTAATTGTCGCAACTTTCTAAAATGGGCTACAACATAAGACGTTCATAGAGTAAAGAATGTTCCTCCGTGCAGAAATTCACTGACGTTTCAAAGCTGCTTACTGCCTCCATCATCAGGGCGTGTGCACGGCGCAGTATCCCAGAAGAGTTATCTTAATCGTCGCCGTGAAAACCCTTTACTTAGTTCAAATAATGTTTTTCATCGTTTCATAACTTTGTCCCGCCCTTGCAGTGTTAGATACATTATTACTCCTGACTAGAATTCTCAGCTGAATACACAGATTAAATTGCAGTTTAAGTGTTAAGTAAAGTGGCGCGTGGGTGTCAAAGAGAGAATTAATTTTAACAGAAAATATTTAAGACCTAGGTTACGCCACTACAATTCAGAAAAGTAGTCTGAGTGTTTGTAAAAGTAATGTGGATATTAACATACACTTATATTTTGAAGGTTGGTAACGAAGGTCATATAGAACAGGAACTTAGAAATTAGGATATTACTTGCAAATTAAAATAACATGCATATATAAGTTATGTTCATCCTATAAAAATTATTCTTTTGGACATTGTCCATAGTCGAGATCAGGGAATCTCAACCTTTTTTCCTGGCGTACCACTAATTCTAATTTAACACACTAAATGTACCACTAATCAAATTCGTCCAGGGAAACTTATTTAAGTTAATATTATCTTTTGATTTTGTTCCTTAGTTCGCGTACCGCTCAACATAGGTTGAGAAACGCTGGTCTAGATTATACAATAATAAAAAAAACATGTCGTTTCGGAAGCTGGATTCTGCTTACGTCATCAGATAAAGAATGTTAGATAAAGGACATAAAGTCTTTCTGTTGATTCACCTGGTTGAGCAGAATCCAGTTTCCTAAACGTTGTAGTTTTATATTTTTGTGATTTAGACGATGGGTAAAGTCCAAAAGAACAATGTTACATGTCAGGCTTGAGACTTCACTTACATTTATCCCCATTAGCCTGCATGTTACATAGACATATTTTAATAATATATTATGAAGTGAATAAAGATTAGGTGGCATATTACATTTTTTGCAAACATTGCCTTCAAATTTGTAATTTGGCCATAGTTGCTTCTGGCTAATATACAGACGGTAGGCCGGACTGTTAGGGTGCTGCATTGCCTGATAAAGCATAGAGGTTTTTTCCTCGTAGTGTATTTTGCTGGCCGTTTAATCCACGTAACGACGAACTGGTGTTTCTCCAGTATCAGACTGTTTAGACGTTTCTGCGCCTGCGCAGTCTATACATATTTATAAACAGCTTACAAAAATTTGTAAAAATAAAGAATTTCACGTACACTGATTTATCATCTAGTCATATCATGAAGGTAAGGCATACTTCGAGCTCCTCCAATAGTATTTTAGTATGGAATACTGAAAACTTTATGGTAATTAAGCTTTTTATGTAAGCAATTTTTATAAACATAAACTTTATACGATTTGAGGTTTTTACGACTGTGAGACCGAAGATGTTTGACTTCTGGTTTGTAGCGCCGTGTAGTCTGGTAGAAGATTAACCGACGTTTCAGAGATCCTTGCTGCGTCCATCATCAGGGCGATGATGAAGGCAGCATTGTTTAATTATTTAACGAGTTCAGATTGTTTGTTAATTTTATTATGGTTTTGGCCTTCATTCTGGCAAAGTGACAGACTAATATTAATCTAATTAGTAATGTCAAACAATTTTCACTGCTTGCACTTATAAACACGGGAACCCAATCTTGAAAAATAACTCGGAGACTATAGAATTTACACAGAATCGTCATTATGAAAACTATCTTGCTGAAAAATAATTTTACACTTTATCATAGTGCAGGCCTCTGTCGGTGATGTTACAAATTACAAAGGCGGAATTCCTTAAGGAATCATTGAAGTGACTTCTTTAATACCAGGACACTGAGTTATCCGTCATGGTATTCACAGATGGGATGATTTATTAACAAGATATACGAGAATATTTGGCTGCATTTACGATTTGGAATACTCTCAATGCGTCTGCATAAATGAGTTGAATTTATTTGTTAGTAGTGCTACGAAGCAGTCTGCATATTTGTAAACAGAACAGCACAGTTAATGTAATAGAGCATCGTTGAAACACATGCACATGTGGGAGGATTGTGAGGTCATGCATAGTTGTGTGTCTGCGTCAGGGCTTTTTGAAAATGTTGCTCACCCGGTGACACGTTCTTGTTGTAATTTCCAGCCGTCTGGTACAACTTCGAGCACCCCGCCAGGCACAGGAAACCACTGCGGAAAGAAACAAGTTGGTAGAAACATAAACTTGTTACAGAATATGCTTTATAAACAAAATGTATTACATCTTCGTAGAAAGAAACGCATGCTGCAAGTTTGATGGAAGATATTTGATTACTTAAAAATACGAGGGCATGTCAAGTCTTGTCGTTTCTAACTTCACGGAGCAGAGTCCTTCTGGAGAAGCTAATATTCCCTTAGATAATCAGGAAATTCCCCGCTTTTCATGGAACCCAAACCCGTTATCTTGTGCACGTAAGTTCGCCACTCGTTGAATATCGTTGTCTTCTGGGTTGTTGCGTCGTATAGTCTGGTAGAAGTTTACCGACGTTTTAGAGGTCCTTGCTGTCATCAAGACCTCTAAAACGCCGGCAAACTTCTACCAGACTACACAGCGCAACAACCCAGAAGACCGCCATCTTCATAATCGCCGCCATAAAAACCTCAAATCCTACATCGCCACTCGTTCTTATTCTGTTATAATCCTGTGCTAGATGAACCTAATCTGCGTTCTTTTATCATGTGTTTAAGAACAATTTTAATAATGTCTTTCGATCTACGTTTAGGTTCCACAAAATGTAACTTCTCTCCAAGTTTTCTGCTGTAATTTTGTACGAATGTTATTCTCCCATGCGTGCTAAATACATTGCCCATCTCATTCTCCTTCGTTTCATCTCCTTAATAATATCTGGTAAAGAGTTATGAACCTCCTCATTTTGAAATTTTCTGCAGCCACCTCAGCACTCTGCTTTGATCTGTCCCCTTCCTTAAACAGAAAGATTTTCCAGCGTTTCAAAGCGTGGGACCACATCAATCCTTTCTTATAAGACTCACGGGTCGCTGGGTTATAATTGACGACAATTTATCGAAACATCTTTGGCAGTGCATTAAAATGCTACCAACTTACAATCACATGCAGTTTGACAAACATGGATCCAATTATTCTGACCGAGATAGCGTTGTTAAATGTAGCATAGAGATGTGTGAATTTATTGAACACTAAGGACATAGTATATTCAGATGATATCTGACACGCCAGGGATAATTTTGCGGAAGCTGTCCACTTGTCATGGGTGCCTTACCTCTAGTGTGAACTTTGTGACAGGTGGCAGCACCTCGAGTACCCACACGTGCCTCGTGTCGCTTATCAGACGAACAACACTCTCCCAAAGGTCATGGTCAAATAAGAGCATGTCGCACGTAAAATATGTCAAGGTCTCAGGCCATGGACTTCTTTGTTGCAGCTGGGTAAGATGGTTTTAGAATCGGATAGGTACAGACCGAGTTCCTTCTTAAAATCCTATTAGTTATCTATATCTGTCCGTTCCCGACACTGACCGCTTTTCGTGAATTTCTTTAAAGACAATATTTCATTACAACTTGCTTCTGTCTTAGTTAAATTTAATTCACTCTGTTCAACAATACAAACACGGCGTTTTTGGAAGATTATTAACAGGGACAGCACTATGAACTATTTCGTGATGATAAATATTAAAAAAGTGGAAATATTTTGAAGAAAGTTTTTATGAAAAAAGTACATAAGACGATATTTTAGTATATTATGCGTGTGAATTTTTATGATGGAATGTGATAAACACGTTTTCTAATATTAAAAATCTGATAATATGCATTGTCTTATTTTCTGAAGTGCACCAGACCAACAGATAATCATTTTAATGTTTTAATTAGAGAAGCGTGTGTATAAACTTATAGGCCTATAAAACGACATGAAAACTAAGGAAGCGATAAATTCTTAATTCAACTAGGCCTATCTATATCAAATGATTAAAATTAAAATAGAAATAATAAATATAGATGAGGTTAAAAAATAATTACAGGTGAGAAATAGGCTCGATTCTGACCATAACCAACCAATTATTTCTTTGTCTTCTATCGATTAGTTTAAAACCTCACGCTTGTCTGTAGTAGGAAGTTATTTCTGCATGCAAAAATGGCGGCTAATTGTTTCCATGTAAGTTGGTATTTCTGTACTGGCACCACCATGTACGTAGTAAGTAGCAGGATTACAGAAACGCGTGACATTATCTGAACGATTATTCATAATGAACGTGTGTTGAGTAAATTTATAAACTCTATAAACATATGTATAAATGGTTTCTGCTCTTGTAGAGAAATTTCAGTTACTTTGTCACGTTCAGATATCAATAAATTATTTTTCATGCTGTTATTATATAGTAAAACGTGCATCTATTTAGTATATCATGGGAGGTTTTAGCTGGAGGTAATGTAAAGTTAGATCATACCTACTTTAATACATATATTCATATGTCGCCGAAGTTATGAATGAATGGAGTTCTACGCCCTCTTCACACCCCCTCTTTTGCAGGGGTTATTTCCTTTTTAACATTCTACCGGTGTGTATATCGGAGATAAAAATATGTAAATTTCATAATAATATTTAAAACATCAACTACTACCCATTTCCAAATACGCCTGAAGCTGAGATAGTGTCGTTAAACAATCTAACTCTTCCTGTAAACCTTCACAGGTTTAAAGTACTGAAAGGTCGAAAATAAACTTACGTTTGCGTGCCAATTGTATAGAAACATGTAACGGATTTTAATATGGAGTTTGCATTTATTATATCGAAAAATAGTTGGCGTCTTAATTATTATTAGAAAATGTATATAATGAACTCAGTAGAGTGTTTGTATAGTTTCTGAAAACAATTAACAAATTTGCTTCTAATTTTTTACTTAGAAGTTTGCATCAAAAATTTAAAGAAAACTGAATTTTGGTTCCTTCCCGTTCAATTTAACGCTAGTCTACTTCACATGAGCGCAAATAAAATTTTAATTTTTTTGAAGTCACAAAGTAATGGTTTCATTACGTAACATATCTCTCTCATGGAACTCTATTGCCTTTATTTTGTATAATTTTTGTTATGGTAAACATTTAACGAAGTAAGGAAAAAAGTAAATCTAATTTCTGATTCTTTGTAGTCCTGTTGTGTGACTAAATTTGAAACAATCGGTTTGTAACAGTAGTATTGCATCTGTTCATTGTATCTGCAACAATAATTTCTCACCCGAAGTATCTCCATTGTCCTAAACATTTCCACTGTTATATAATTTTGACTACATCTTAGTGTCATCTGTTGAACCGTGGTTACCATAACTACATTGTAAGATACATCGCATGCCCATTTCTTTAGTCCCATTCTTTTAGATTGTTTTACATGCTGGAGGAAAATTCTATAACTGAAGTTCATTTTTAAATACAATGCGTGCTTCGTGTAACGTGTGGAAAATTATAAAATATTACAAAAAATATAGGCATTTGCAGATCGTCTCTCTGCAAGCGAGTGAAGTGAAAGCGTTATTTATGTACATTAGCGTGCTGGTGCTGTACTTTGAGACGACTTTGAAGTTGTGCACACTTCTTTTGTAGCCTGATCTCTGTCCCTCACCTGAGAAGGCTCAACTGCACCAGCTGACCTGCTGACCTCATACTATTACATTCAAGACTAGTTTGAGTGACGCTGGTAGGTCAATTCGCTGCTGCTCCCTTTGTCACTGACCCTCGTGATTGATCCCTGAAACCTGAGGGACGGACCGTCTACGTCCGATACAAACCCCACACTGAGCATTCGCACTGTGTGCCTCCTAAGAGACCCAAGTAATTAGGGGAGGGGTGGCAGCACCCCCACTGCCTTGTGTTGGCACATCGCCGTACCGTGAACGGCTCTGCGCCATCTCCGTCGCGACGCTACGCCAGTATGACGTCAGATGACGCCTGCCAGTGTAAATTTGCACTCAACTCAACCTCACAAAAGAAATGCATTTTATAGGGAATTCAAAAGGGCTATTGTGTTGGGCCAGAATAAAATTTGTTACGCAGGTTACTGTCACATGCCCCAGGGAATTTTCATTATGAAGGCCGCTAGAGACGGAAGTTTTGCTGTGTGTAGGTCAGGGGTCACCAACCCCACTTGGCAAAGTGCCGTCAGCGTAGTATAGATTTATGGCCACACGTAACTTTCCATACCATTTAAATCCAAGGGTATTCGTTCGTTGCCGTTTTTGTAGCTGGCTGTATTATCCGTATATTAACTGTTGTGCTTATGAGTCACTATCTTAGCAAGAGAAATAAGTGATCAAACTGTAGTGCTTGAATCATTTGTCCTATTTCAATTTTACTCATAGCTTTCTCATAAAGAGAGACATTAAAGCAGTCCATTGGTTGAGTACAAGCTGAATATAAAGTATGTTTTGTTTTGGCGTTATTATAAGTTATACAATGTTGCTTTGCCTTAATGTGTCGAAGATTGTTAGGAATTTTCAAGTATACTCGTATCTTGTGTTCATAAACTGCGGACAGATAGACAATATTTATCCTTATTTTGTGGTTGTCTGATGTCGCTTCTGCATTTATAGGGCCCTGTTTCTTTTTCAGTGCTTGAAGAGACGGTGATATATTGTTTAATAATGACTTGCAATTAAAATAGAATGGAAAGTGTAACGTAAGATACAGAGCATCGTTTTAGTTGCAACAAAACATGGACAGTTCTCTGTGTTATGAGTTGCTCGAGGGCTAGAATAGGTGGCATTATGTATGTCAGTTCTTCCGTATCAAAATTGGTTAGCACTATTGCTTTGTAGTCAGTAGGTCCTAGGTGAGATTCTTAGACCGGTGGTTTGCAGTCTTGACTGAAATTTTAAATTAGTTTCCTCAACC